AAGGAAGGGAAAGGAAAGGGGAAGTATCCCTGAAGCGACCAATTGATCAAGCCACCTTCCTGCAAAGCAGTGCCTCCCACAGGAGCTCTCTCTGGCACGTTGCCCTTTGAGTGCTCAGTCACACCAGAGACCTGTATCTTCGTAGTGTGTTTTGGTTGAATACGAAAGATGATTTCCTCATTTTTTAGGAGTGACTTCATTTATTTTCAGGATTATCTTGCCCTATGCATTCACTTTGCCACAGGTAGCAAAGCTCCAGATGAGGGAGGAATGAAATCTTTTTGAGAAGCTGAAGCTTCTGCTTTGAAATCTTCTAGTGCTCATTGTGAACAGTAGCTGGCCTTTTCTTCTGAGTCTCCCCATTTTCAGTGTTGGCTTGGCTCTCATTTTCATTCATCCTGACTTCGGTTAAAGAAAATCTCTGGGAGAAGGTGTTGGGATTTGGAAACCGTGGCAACAGAGTCTGTGGCTGACTTGCCACAGTGGCAAGTGGTGGAGCTGCTGACAGGAGAGTTTATTCATTAGAAAAGAAAAGGAATGGTTCCCATGTGCTGTAATATCTCACAGAGATGTATCTGCCTGACATAGGTGTATTAGATTGCCTCCCAGGTGGTATGAAAATATTTGTTCAAGATATATTCGGTAGTTCCTAAGGTTAACCTTCCAAGAACTGGGTAATGACTGGAATGTGCTGGTTTGTGTTCCTTATCAAGAGACTGGTAATCCAGGGAAGTAAAACCTTATCTATGGTGGAAATATACTTAATGATTGTTTGGACTCACTAGGTAAAACCTGTCAATTACTTGTTGCCATTTGATCTATTTCCATAGATATGTCAATATATAGGTTCAGAAGAACTAATTCTGTTCCTCTGAGATACTTTTTGTTTCCTCAGCACTTTCTAAGCATTGCTGCTGTCCCAGCAGCTTCAAAATCTCAAGCTGAGTAGTTCCCCTATTTGCACCTCTCTCAAACTTTTTTAGTGTTGCTACCTAATATCAACAGTGGTTAGCTGTTGGCAAGCTGCTATAATCCCTGTGCAACTCTTTCTCATTTACAACTACATGTGAGAGGAACTCCTGGGTAGTTTTCCATATCACTTGTGGTTATTTTGATAGCTGAGAAGTCAATATTCTCAAGCATGTAAACTGTTGTACAGTACAGGACACAAAATTGTTCTAGCAAGGTAAAGCATTCATTGCAAATCCCTTTCCACATATAAATGCATTTGTGCTGATTACTCCTGTTTGTTTTCATGGCAAAAGTCGACCCTATTCTGTCTTCTTTTTATTGAAGCACCAGGTTGCCTGTTGCTATTTTTGTAGTGTTTGCATGAATTCTGCAGCTCTGTAAGGGGAGTAGAGCAGCTGTAAAGCACAGACTGGTCGAAGCTTGAAATCACTGAGGATCAGTTGTGGTAAGACACGTAATTGAGAAGACATGTTTTTCAAGTGCTACCAAAGTCCTGACAGCAGAAGCTTACAACTGACACATAACATCCAACTCTTGGGGTGCACTCATGATGTCAAGCCCTGCAGCCATCTTGCAAAACCCATGCTTTTGTGGCAGCAATAGTTCCTACATGTACATATCACAAGCATGCAGTTAAACCGAAATGAGCAGCAAACAGTGAGTTTTCCTGTGTTATTGACACGTAACTTAGGCATGTGGTTTTTATCGCTCTGTATTTGCATTAGAAGGAAATGGTTTAGAAGCATACTGTGGTAAAAGGCAGGACGGCTGTGGTCTAACTGTCCCCAGCTTATCTCCCACTCTCATCGCAGCCCACCTCCTCTGAACCAGTTGTGACTGGTTCAGCTTACAGGGGTTTTCCACTGAATAACCAAACCTTCCTGCAAACAAATGCCCCAGCACCCAGAACCCTTCAACACCCACTTGGCCTTTTATTCAGGCTAAATAAAAACTAAAAGCTTTGTACGGACAGCATGTATCTGGCTAAATAAACTGCAGGGACATGGGAGCTCTTCCAGATGGGACCTGCAGGGACCTGCAAGCGGTACTTGAGAATCTGTGAGGTGATGGTTGTGCTCAGTATGGTTGCATATAGGCAGAGGGGTCTGTGCAAAAAGCTGTGTTTTCTCTCTAGTTTTCTGCACTGTAAACATCTTTCAGTTTCAGGTATGAGACACAAGTGGATTTGGGGATCATCTGAGTGAAAGAGATCTTGGTTCATTAATGCAATCAGGTGTTTCTCTAGCAGGGATGAAGATCGGGAAGACCAGGACAGTGATATCAATGATGCTACTGAAATTTACGGTAACTGCATTCCAAAAATACCTCTGTACCTATTTTATTTCACTTTGGTTGGAACTGAGCCTTAACAAATAATACCACTGCTTTTCAAAGACAGTCTGACTGAAGAGTAAGCATCACATCTTTCTTCACCTTGAAGAGTAACACGACACTGAAGGCAGTAATTAGTTGCATTGGCTGCAATATGCAGATTGTAAAATAACTTGCAAGATACATTGTTAGAAAAATAGCTGCTGTTGTTCTAACTGTGCCTGACTTAGGTTCTTCCTTGTGATGGTGTGAGTGCTGCAATTCCTGTTGTAACAGCACTGCAGTTCCCCCTGACTTGGCTTAGCCCTTCAACAGGAAAGATGTTATGAACTAGCTTTTATTGTTCTGTGTAGGAGCATTCCTGTTTTGTACCTTGAAGAGCAGAAAACTGATGGGTTTAAGGCTCGCTCTTAGATTTCCTGAGGAATTTATACCAACAGAGGAACAAATCAAGTTTTCCAGCCATAGTGGTACCTGCTGTGGAAGTGTTGGAGAACAAACACAAGCCTCACAAATGCCCCCAGAGGAAAGCTCTTATTGCCCTCGACATCATTACGGATAGTGAGTGTAAATGCTGCAGCCGCTTACCTCCAAACTTACGGCAGGGTTTTGCCCCAAACTGAGCAAATGCTTTACTCCAATGTGTCTACTTCTATTCTTTCCACAGAAATTTGAAAAGAGCTGATTTGTGGAACTTGGGGCTGAAGAGTTCAAAGTCCAACATCTGAGAACTTTTCCCCTACTGTGAAAATACATTCTTCATCAAAGCTGGAGATTTAAGGGTTTGCTCAACTTACAAAGGTAGCTTAACACAAGATGATGCTCATGATCATTACAGTAGTTTTCTTTCTTTAAATATACGATGTTCAGGTTTGTGTCTCAGTTTGGTCTATGGCCTGGTGGATTTCTCCCATTTCTGCTTGTGTGCACCTCTGAAGTGCTTTATACTCATCTAAATTCTTCATTCAAAATTACTCTGTTCACTTTTTGAAATTGTGTTTAATTGACTCTGAAAGCACACATCGCTTCAGAATATTGAAGTCCTGATTTGGTGCATACATGAGAGTTGTCATTGAAAGTAAAAATGAACAACATCTGTGAATTTACAGACAGGAATGCTCCTTAATTAAGCCTTAAGTGCAATAACAAAACGTACCTGTGCTTTATATGTCAAAAGTCTGGTTACACCTCCAAACTTCTGTACGCACAACTACTTTCAACAGGAGTACCTTCTTCATATTACATTAAAATCCTAGGTATGTAACCCTTAGTCCTAGTGCCCACCTCAGTTCAAGACTCACCAGACTGATACAAAACCAGAAGCAGTAAAGCAAAACAAGCCCTGTGCGCTAATGCCGTAAGATTATGTAGGGATTTTGTTGTTACATCTGCCACTGGGAGCAGGGGAGTCTATCTGGATAAATATATAGCAAAGCAAATTGAAAGTGATTTTGTTAGCCTTTCCTAAACAAGCATTTATGCTTTCTTTCCCTGGTGCTTGCTGGCAGCCCACATTCTGTAGATGAAGAAGAGTACGATGAGATAGTACATGGAGCTCTTCAGAAGAAGGACGATGTACACTAAGTATGCTGTCCTGTGTATTATGTGATCTGTAACAAACATAAACAGGACAGCCTTGTTAAATGTCAATATTGGACAACCTCCTAAAAGACGGGTAGAACTAGGACTGTGTAGTCTGTTCGCTGCCGCGATTACACTGATTCCAGTGGACAGTGTGTGAACACATATAGTGTCTGACTGTCCTTTGAGTACGTTTGCACTGCTAATAAGGTCGAGACTGAGCAGGTTTCTTAGCACTAGACTTCCTCTCAATGCTGCTGGGTTATTATTCCCTGCAAAGACAAGAATGTAATTCTAGCGCTTCCAGCACTGATTGCTGGTAGCATCATGTTCGCTTGAATCCTTGTGTGTTGGATTTTTTGAACATAAGGACTCACAGTTCTTCCTACATCCTTGTTCAAGCTAGAAGAAAAGTTCTTTGTCCAAAGTGCTGGGCAATTGCTGGGCTGATGAAGCATCAGCTGAAGCACTGAGCTTTTAACTACTTCATATATTAAAAAAAGTGACTCTTAATGTGGGCTAATAATCTAGTAGCTGAACAGCATCTTTGCATCCTAATAAAGCTACCTAATAAAAGTAGGAGAGCCCATTCTTATAATCCACAACAGAGTTAATTCAGAGTAGCACTGAAGTGTTTTTAAGTTACAAACCCCAGACTTAAAAGATTTCCTGCATGCTATTTAGGAAGATCCCTTTCATGATGTTCTGAGCAAATATAGCAATATCTGACTTGAATGCCATGCATCACTTTCCCACATTTTAATACACTTTAGTTACCTCTGTTAAAAACTGTGCTGTTTCCAGATGTGCTGCAGTCCTCTTCCTGAGGAGCAGTCTTCGTAGAATCTAATGGAAAGAGATTTTAAATGCTACAATTAGGCTTTGCTTTAATTTTAATAAACATGAACTGAGAAAT